CATATTTCTTTCCTTGCGAAAGTTTTTGTCCGTTTTTATCACGCCGCCATACCGGTCGCATTGTGCGAGGTCAGGTTTTACAGTGGACCAGTTTCCAGTGCCGTGCAGAAGTGTATTTTTAAATCAATTTCGAACTGACCTTTTTGATTTTTTCTTTACAAAATAGTATTTGTAAGGTTCCCGTGTACATCCAGAATTTTTTTTTTTTTGGATAAGTTCTGAATCACTATGTATACATAATTCCTAAAATATGATCATATTTATTTTCGCGTGAACTTGAATATACAGGGTGTTTGGTAAGTCGATGCATTCCTTGCAGGAGATTATAATACAACTGATTTGTGATACATTTCCTTAATATGCCATTTTCCGAAAACGCTTAGTTTCCGATCTACAGAGTTTTAAAGTTTTAATTAAAAAATGCAAATTTAAAAATATTGCGAAAACCGCTCAGAATATGAAATAATAATATGATAAATAATGAAATTTTACAGGCTTTGACAGTTAACAACAATACACGTTTTACGATAAAAATATTATTTTCAGTTTCAACAGTGGCGTGCGCACAGGCACGTCTCTGGATATTTTTAAAGAAAAAAAATTATACGCCACTGATTTTTCTTAAAATAAAAATTATTTTTGAATTCCTTGTTCAATTTGGAAGAGAAAAGGTATCTCGACTGTTTTTCTTATGAAGCACCGTTTTCGAGTAAATAAATTAAAATCGATTTATTGCATGGCGTAATCCGGTTTCAATAATTTGAAAAATAGCAGAAATTATGCACTCAGTTTTTTTTGTATGAATTTTATTACAAAAAAATTATTACTCCTCATAGTTAACAACGTAAGTCTAAAAAAATTTATCAGTTTTTAGATTCACTATTCACTATCTTAAACAGAATTTAGCAGATTGGCTGTGCACTCGTTTTTATTATTGTTTGATAAAATTAATAATAGGTGTCACTTTAGTAATAACGTGTTGTAATATATTGTTGTTAACTGTCAAAGCCTGTAAAATTTCATTAACATATTCTGAGCGGCTTCCGCAATATTTTTAAATTTGAATTTTTTTATTAAAACTTTAACACTCTGTAGATCGGAAACTAAGCGTTTTCGGAAAATGGCATATTAAGGAAATGTATCACAAATCACTTGTACTATAACCTGCTGTAAGGAATGCATCGGCTTACCAAACACCCTGTATATTCAAATATTTTCACGGTCAAAAAGATTATATTTTCTTGCATAATTTTTGTTAGGAAAACGTTTTGCTACTTCCTTCCTTGACACCGATATTCTTATAAATATGAAAATCATATTAGGTGTAAATTGGATAAGTACTTCCATTCACAGGATATAAAATTACGGCGCATTAGGGGCGAGTGGAACAAGTTCACGAACGAAAAAAAAAAAATAATTTTACCTCGATTTGCAAATGTTTCTTCTTCTATGTTGATCGAAAAGGAACCAAGCACCAATTTGAAAATGCATTAATTCATAAAGGAGGACATCATTTATTTTGCATAAATAAAATCCACTCTGGTGATAATTTGGTGGATGATTCCTTTTCCGATAAAAAAAAATAATAATTTTGTCAATTTAATTTAAAACGAAACATAATACAGCAGATTATTTTTTACACATGAAATGTGAATAAATTTCCGTTTTACTTCAATTCTACTTATTTAAAACGGCTTTTATTACATAGGATACGACTTTTGTCAAGAATTGTGTTATTATTAGTTCTTTATTTAACTTACAGCATTTAGTGGAAAAATAATTTTAAAATGAAGTAGGTATGTATTTATCAAAATGTTATTAATATCTAATTATCATTTATTAAATTTTTTATAAATTCGTCCATTACGTAAATTTATTATACGTAATATTTCGTTTAAATTTTTTATAATTCTTTTCTACCCATTTTCATAACATATTTTTCAAAATTATTTTTTTTAATTCTAATAGTTATTGCTAACTTAAACAAATGTTTAGCACTACAAGTGACAGTTTGAAAAATATAACCACTGGGATTTTTCAACATATCTCTAAACCTACCTCACTTAAACATATTAAAAATTTTTCTACTTATTTTTTAAATATTTGTACCTCTAAACGAATAAGGAGGACAAAACAATTTTTTAAAAAATGACATCTTTTGGTGGTGAAAATATTTGTGAAAACCGTGAGAGAACAAATGTTAGTTAGTAACTTTACAGCCCCTACAGAATCTAAAAATTATATAATTTTGGAATAAAACGGACTCTATTTAGTTTTAATGTCACATTTAGTGTCAAAATGGTACCTTGAAGATAGAAACTGTCAGGGGCCAACAATTTAAATTATCTGCTCCCATTATAGTAAATAGACTATTAATACATTGTTTTTAAGAAGGTAAGTGGATTTTACCGTAGGAGTGGAAGTTGCTATGGACAACGGGAGGTAAGTGAGGTAACTTACCTCCCTAGGGATTTCTAGCTATAAATGCATATATTTATGAACAAATAAATAGAAATATTTGACGAACATTACATTTTATTAATTATTATGAATGAATATTTATAGTAATTGTACAGTTTTTACATTTAGTAACATTTATTAAATCTGGATAATTATTCCCCTCACGTTTACTAATTGTCACATTTTTCTCAAAATGATTTGACCGCTCCATTTCACCGGAGCCTCAATATTATCTAACTGATCCATTAAAACAGCATGATGAGACGTAATACTAGAACCTAGAGTTGCTGTCATTGTAAAGAATCCTGTTGGCTATTTCATTTTTGTTACTTAAACTGTCAGCAACATAACTTTCTGCAATTGTAGCTAATTTTCACTCACCATGTCCCTTGATTGCTAATATATCAACTCATGTATTAGTCAGTAACGTTGCCGATGTTCTTCGGAATAAATGGCCTGTAGGTATATGTTTTAGAATGTTCTAGTTTCAAAAACTGTGCAATCTTATTAGGAGTCATAGAAAGGGTATTCTTGCCGACTAGTTGGTTCTAACATCTACCTGCTTGATAGCGCATAAAAAAGCGTGAAATTTCAGTTTTAATTTCCAATCTAATCTTGATATATTTCTTGAGATTTTCTAGGTGAAAAACAGAACCCAGACGAGCAGTAATTGTAAATGAACGTGACATACCATTTTTAGAATTTGGAGTTGTAACTACAATAATGTCATCGAAATTTTTGAAATTGACGTTGTTCAAAGTAAGTTTGAACAACCCATCAGAACGGCATGCTCCTGCAATGCCCAAGACCGTCACTACATTCATTATTCAAAAATAACTATTAAATGTAAAAAAACTCACTATATACAAAATCAGTTACAGTAACGAATTATTCATTAGAACACGTCATATACTTATAAAGTATTTTCATTTAAGTATTGAAAACGTCAGTAGTCTAACTATAAAAAAATCCATAACTAACAAAAAAATACATCCTGTTTTCGAAATTCTTTTGTGAAGTCAGAGTGAGGTATTGAATTTTATTTTTTAAATATATAAATTTCATTGCTAATTTTGACATTACTATAAAGTTGTTTGCTTAAAACTGCCATAAAGTAATACTGGACTGCTTTTATTACTGTATATGTTTTCACTTATTGTTTAATAAAAAAAACTTACCGTACTAAAAAATATTTGAAAGTAATTCTGTTACCTGCATTTCCGTAACGCTGAACCATGAATTCTAACATGCTATTTGGAAAAAGTTATCCTTGAACTTCGTAAATCAGTTTTACCGTATTGATAAAGTTGTAATGTAAGTAATCAATATGTAATGACCAGATTAAAAAAAATGAAATGCTTGTAAAATATACTAAGTACAATGTTCTTTTACCTTTCAGTAAATTCTGTATAATTCCTTCAGCTGACATTAAATATCTATGTAATCCAGTTACTAAAAAATAAAAACATAATCGTAAGTAAGTTTAGTATCTTTACTCAATGGGTGGTCTGATTGATTCCGTGACTATCATCGTACAAAAGTTGCATTTAGTAAATTTCCTTGAACCAAATGCAAATTTAAGGGCGCATCAAATTTCAAATCTATTTTTCGATGTGCAGGTTATTGAAATCACGATTTTTGTGCCTCCAATAAGACAATTTAGTTTTATAAATTATGCCTATAAAATACTGAGCAACAGTTTCTTCTTTGACTAAATTTCCTGAATTCTTCACATGCTAACGAACAATTAGAAAAGTTAAATATTTACATAGAATACGTACTTTAGCTATCCTTATACATACGAGTACAGTTTTGTTAAATTTAAATAATGGAAGCTAGAATTTGATACTGTTTGAAGGCGAAAAGTACAAACATTGTTTTTATCTGAAAATTTGGAGGAAACCATCTTTATACCATATATTTCTTCATTCATTGCATGATATTTTTAAACAATATAATAATAATATAACAAATTTTTGTAAAACAAGCTATTTATGAATGTATATTTGGTTGCCTAAGTGTAAAAGTGAAACCATTATTCAGCACCAACAAAGCTTCTAAAAATTTTATAATCCGTACGCCACATAAAATTATAGTGCTCTGATTCATAATAATTCTATTTGCCGTTCCTTGCATTTCCTATTTCTATTGGCAATACTGAAAATTCCAGAAATATCTGTGCAGTTCTCCATCCATTCTAATAACACGTTAATAGATTGCAAACAGAAAAACTAGTTCAGTAGGAGTTTGCAGGTTGGGATTGCATTCCAACGTTATATTCAAGGCTTTCCTGACTCCACCCAATTGTTAGAAATAGGCATAACGCTGCAAAAGACATTGAGAATTCCTTCTTTATTCTGCCCAGGGTAATTATAAAACTATTTCTTTGAAAGGTGGAGTAACAAGCATGTAACAATGGTATATTTATAAGTTAATTTAAATGCCAAATCTCGAATATCTTTGAGTGTTTAATCTACTTTTGGTCGACGATAATTGGAATAATTGTTAGATCGATATCTTAGTAGGACATAAAGACAGAATTAAAATAGTAGAGTCTCTTTATTTCTTATCACACACACACAGATAAACTTACATCTACTGTACAATGCAAATGGCAGTACACTGTATTTTGTATCTACCAAAATATCTTAGTAAACAACAACAATCGTCAACAAGTTTATTAGTAAATCGGTGATGACTGTACCGTTTAAACTTTATGTTACAAGTCACATTAGTTAACAAGACTAGTAGGGTAATCTTAGTATAAATATAAAAGAAAATGGTTAAAATACGGGTCTAGCTAAATTTATTTTTTTTTTTTTTCACATAATTTAGAAAATTATTTACAGCAATAAGTACAAAGATATATCAAGTGAGTATTTGGCACAGGATTTCAGACAGTTAAAATATACAAATAGATAAACAGAAGGAAATTCTCTTTGTACCTGTCAAAATCTTAAATTCAACTGATTGAACCTAAAATTATAAATCTTACATTTTATCTCTTGTATTGCACCGAGTAAGATCCAGAATTTATATCCACGTTGCTAGCGGGATGACCATGGAAGGATGGTCCGTAGTTGTTATAAGATGGTGGTGGATTGTTGTTGAATCCATAATTTGATTGAGGTCTGTACACGGGTTGTGGTGGTGGAGGAGGTGGTGGAGGGGGTGGTGAATAATAAGATGGAGGGTTATAGGCCGGTTTCGGTGGATTGTAAGAGGGTTGAGGTCTATACGCGGGTTGAGGTCTAAAGGAAGGTTGAGGTTTGTAGGCAGGTTGTGGCCTATATGCTGGTTGGGGCCTGTATTCTGGTTCTGGGGCATATGGCTCAGGCTCAAAGGCTGGTTCAGGATAAACTGGCTCTGGTCTATAGGCAGGTCTGGGTCTAGCTGGTTGTTTGAAAGATCCGAAAGAGTCGAAATCAAAATTGTCATCTTGGTAATTGCTTACAGGTCGTTCGTAGCTTCTTTGGGGAGCTGGCTGATTGTGTGGATCATTCTTGTAGTAATAACCGGGATCTTCTCGGTACTGACCATCGTCTTCTTCATCTGGGGCTAACGGTCTTGCAATGGCTTCTGTGTTCACTCTCAGAGTGGGTGGTGCAACTTGGATTTCATTACCGGCAGGTTCGAATCCTCTTCTGCTTGCACCGTACTCCACTTCTCTTAAGGCACCTGTGTCATCAATGTATCCGTATTTACCGTATACCTCGCCATCTGGGTATTTAGTTTCTATCTTGAATGTACCGTCGGCTGCTTCATATCCATAGGTGTACGAACCGTCCTCGTTCTGTTTGTCGATTTGCTTCAGAATTGGAACCGGGGTGGTGTATTTGTTGTCGGCAGCTGCAGCTACGGTGATCACCGCGGCTACGATGACCTGAAAAATAATTACCATCAATTAATTTCAGAGTTAAATACAAAGATATGTTCAAACGGCATTTCGGTACTAAGTGCCACTAAATAGATAAAACCTGATACATTTAAATGTATATCGCATTTACTAACTTTTGAAAGTGTAAAATTGTGTAACAGTTTGAACTAAATACCTGTTTGGAATCTTATAGGTGTTTAATATTTAAATTATTCTAAAGCCATGGACTCATATTTTCAAAAAAATGTATTATATGTGTAAACTTATATTGTTTACAAAACATGCTACTTCTAGTGCTTCTTGAATGTAGAGTATGTGATGAAACTGAAAAATGATAGGAGAAATTGACTTAAGAAATGTGGACGTCCTCGAGATATTAGTAACTGTAGTATATGTTACAATAATTCTAGTAGGGTCACTTGCTAAATTGTAATTAGGAAGTACAAGAGTACATGGAAGGTTTCAAATTACAAAAAAGTTAATATAAAATGCCTCCATTTAGCACCTCGTCATTATAATGATGTTCATTGAAATAAAAATATCTTAATGTCAGTTTATAGTGTTCAGATTTGATCTAGAACACTTCAGTCATTTTAGTAGCCACATTTAATTCAGGGATGATTTTTGCAGGAAATTTTTATAAAGCCTAGAATGTACAAATTGTGTAACTTTTTGTTTCCGTTAATAAATTTCTGAGCCTTGAAGGTACAGGGTGATTCACTATATTTTGACTCCCCTCCATTAACTTTTTTTCGTTTTTAGAGTTATAAAAATGTGAAATACAAAACTTCCACGATTTTTTATGAAGTTTTCGAAAATGATAGTAGAAAAACTAAATCTCACTAATTAGGTCGCGAGAGGCCCAATTACTTATGGACAATATTATATGGTAGGCCGTGACAGTGACAGGTATTATCATGACAACAGTATTATTATGTGAAATTTCGTATTATTATTTTATAAAAATATTGTCATGACATTACCTCATGCATAAATGTTTATTTGATTTTGAAAGATTAATTAAATTAAAAATGAAAAAAATACAGCCTTTAAATTTAACTTCATTTTCTTCAATTAGGGAATAGTGTCTGCAATAATCGATATTGTAGACACGATTTTTATCTAGAACGCTTCGTTAAAATGACACAGGGTGTTAAACTTCAAATAATATTTTAAATTTTTTAAATAATTTAAAAACATGTATTTTTGTAAACATTATCCAAAATCAGACGGCTTTTACTAAAATTTATATGCTTCAGTGGCGGAGATACAGGGCATATTTTTCTAAATAAAATAATAGGCAATACTTTACCGTAACAACCATGATATTTTCGGATTCGTCTTCCAATTTTCTACAAATTACTACTCTCTTATGATTTTCGAAAAAGTCGGATTTTCGAGTAAAACTTAAAAGATTAACAGACAACACTTATGTACTTAAATGACATGATAAGCACTAATAATTCGGTTATTTACTCGAATAAAGGAATTAATAACATTAGTCATCATTTTAACGATTTTATTTGAGTAAATGCTCAAAAATACCTCCATTTCCAATTTTAATTTGTTCGAAATTTATTGTTGCTTGAATCTGATGAAATGCATTATTTATCCATTCTTCTAACTGCTCAAGTGTATTGATTTCTTCACTGGATACCAGCCATATAACAGCACTCCTCAAAAAGAAATTTAGTAGGTTGAGGTCCGGTGTTTTCAGTTCATTTTTTAAGTTTTACTCGAAAATCAGGCTTTTTTAGATAAACATAAGAGCGTAGTAATTTGTAGAAAATTGAAAGACGAATCCGAAAATATCATGGTTGTTACCGTAAAGCAGTGGCGTACTATTTTATTTAGAAAAATATTCCACCGATACCCTATATCTCCGCCACTGGAGCATGTAAATTTTAGGAAAAGCCCTCAGATTTTGGACAATGTTTACACAAATACAAGTTACCTACCAATTTCAAATTACTAGTTTCTAATTATTTAAAAAATGAAAGATATTTTTTGAAGTTTAACACCCTGTGTCTTTTTAATGAAGTGTCCTAGATAAAAACTTTATAGGAAACACTCCCCTTAAAATTCACCAAAGAATACGAGGATTCATTTTTGGTCACCATTTGTGAATCACCCTGTATATATTTACCAGTAGCTACAATTTTTTAGGCATGCTTACCTACTGTTAACGACAACATAATTATTCCGCCTTTCAAAGTAACTTACTGAAACCAATACAGCATTGTATTTATGCAAATTAATAAATTAAGGTCAATTTTAGTCTGTACATTTTCAAAATTCCTTCTAGTTACTGACACATACACTGAAAATAAATTTTCTTTATTTCAAGTGTTAAAACAAACAAGGAACTAGTTTTTATGTACAAAAGGGAGCGTTTAACGCTTAAAAACTTACATAAAGAAACAACCTTGACATCCAATTTAAAATGATTTGCATGTTAATATTTATAGAACAAATAATTAACTCGATAATAATACATGTCTCTAGCGGTTTCATTTGAGATTTTTGAGGTAATTTTTTATGTCTTCAAGGTAACTACGGTACAGGTAACCGTATATATTGTCGTATAATAATTTGCATATTGTTATTTGCTAAGGAACTATTTCATTTTATGCTTTGTAATAACCAAGTGACTGTATAAACGTAACAATATTTAAATGTATTCACAAATTTCAGTAGGTACACATGAAAATATATTTATAATAAGTAGGATTCGTTTTCAAAAATTGATAAGTATCAGTATTTTATTCACAGTAAATTATACAAGTACAATAAACGATGTTTTACAATAAAATACAAATATATCCCCCTTCAAATCTTAAGTTTTGATATGAGTATATATTAAAGCTACTTATATATTAAATATTTAAAAGAAAATTATTAAATGCGGTTCTAGAATCCAAGTCCAAATAAGCTCATGTCTGTTCCGCAACTTCTCCATTTTTCGAAATTAAAATAAATATATTACGTGAACAACCACTATTATGTAAATGTTTCTTAAAAATCTGCAAGTTTAAATATTAATTTTGAGGCTATGAAAAAAATGTGGTAATTTTTAAATAAGACAATCATTGTTTAAAAATCCAATTCACTTAATTTTTTATTGTATGTTTTGAGAGAAAAAAATGATGTAGGTATTATAATAACCAGTACGCGTCATTGCTCGGAAAATATGTCTTCACTGATTTCACTGGCACTTTTCCACGAAAATGTAAACAAACACTATACTTACAAAGAACTTCATCTGCACCGGCACTAGTGGTAATGAGATAAAAGAGGTAAACAGCCTCGCCTTACTTATGGCGTGGCTTATATAGTTTATATCCCCACATTTACAATATAACAAGGTTACAAAATAATCTACTGTGTATCTCAATTTTCATATTTCACCGCTGAAATGCTTATGAATGGAGATGATATTTGAAATATTCTAGATTTTCCTAAGTCGGTAGATCCTGTACGATCTCAAAGGATCTAAGTACTTTGACTGGCAGCAGGAGTACAGCTAATTATGTGATCAGATATGGGTGGTATCTTGATAGAAAAGGTTAGATTCTCATATACGGAATCTTTCGCATATATTTTCCTTAGTTAATCTCTGTTATTTTTGAAATATAAAGGCAGTTATAGAAGGTATTAAAGTTTATTAGTAGAAGAGTAATTATGTTATCATTTAAATATGGGTGGTACTTTTACTTAAAGGTTAGATTCTTGTGTAAAGAATGTATAAAAATGGGTATTAATTTATTTTTTTTTTATAAATTTCCTTTAATTATTACCCTTAGCGTAGCCTTTTTAAAAGTGCATATTTATTAAAAAAGTAATAATTTTTAAATATAACTATTCAACGTAAATTCTAGAAAGAAAGTTTAGAAGACAAAAATAAAAATTATTTGTCCCTAAATCGATAGAAGAATTATTTTTCTTTAAAACAATTTTTAGATTTTGACTGCATTACTAATATAATAAAACATTACTTACTTAAAAACCTTAACGTATTCGTAAATGACTCATAGGGTATATCCTGAATGTCTGCTTTATGTGTTTATAGCCTTCTGACCTTAACTGAAATCTGATTGCTGCTAACAGTATACAGGAGGAGGCCACACTGAATATTTTTGTTTAATGTTTGAAATTTGAAGAATATTTTAAAGTTGGAATGTCTCTACTAAACATAATTTTTTATACACCTTCATAAAATTGTATCAATAAAATAATTATTATATTCTAATGTAAATGTAATAGGATCTGTAAAATAATGTACCTACTACAGGAAGTACTATTAATACCAAATTGAAGTATGAAAATATTGATAGGAGTATTGTTTAGTTATTTATTTATGATACAGTTCTTGTTTTTCTCTTTAGTCGTTGGATATTTTGTCAAAAAAAATTTAAACACTTAATGACATAAACCCTTGTGCCAAACGTCAAGACAAGGGTTATTTTTATGAAATTAGTTTTGCGTAATCAAAAATCTTATAATGAAAAAGTAGACAAATATAAAATACAAAATTGTTTCGATAATAATCAACTTGTTTTCGTCTTCTGAACAAAACATATTGACATTTCGCTCTTAATTATTTTTGATAGTGTAAATTTTTTTTGCCTGTTTTCATAGTTGGAAATATCATGTGATGTACCTATTTTCTATTATTGCTTACTTCATCGGTCAGAACGAATCTATGTCTCTTTCAATATTCTTTAATTAACTATTTTGCTTCTCCAAAATTTTGGCTAAGCCACATTGAATTATTGTATATGACGGTTTTCCCAAGTGTGCAAATTAATTTCTCAAATTCTTGTTTTGCAATATAACATTTATGCTCGTCTATTCTAATATTTATTGGTCGAGAGGTCTCTCCAATAAAACTTTGATTATGTTCACAAGTTTGCTATTACCAAAATTTGTTGAATTTTGAATATCATTATTTGGGAGTGTTCGATAAAAAAGTTCGTAAGTGTTTGTTGCCTGAATATCTATTCTAATGTTAAGTTTGTTACCTATTTATCTTAATTTTGAAATTCACGATATACAGGGTGTCCCACCGTGAACTACGTCGATCGATATCTAGGAAAGTAGTGCTCCGAAAAATTTGAAAATTTGGCAAACATGGCTATGTCCCAGGGGCGAACACAACTAAAATATCTAGAACTCTCTAACGCTTCAGGTTATACCGGAACGAGACACCAACTTCTTTATTTTAAAAAAGCAGCAGATTCTCTACATGTTCTTGAAATTACTTTATCACATTTTCCATAAATAACAAACAAATTAAAATAATCCTCATTAGTATAATTTAAACGATGTCTAGACATTTGTATTTAAATTTTCAGCAAAAATTATTCAGACATAACAATAATTTGACAACTAACTTGACAAATGTCATATTATTTTAATTGTTTTTGGAGTGTTTTTGGACATGGCCAATTTGATAACAGGTCTGATACGAAAAAAACTGTCCAAAAAATAGAAAATTGCAAATATCTCTCAAAGTAGTAACGGCAGCCCTAACAATGATTATATGGCTTGGAAGGAAATTTCAATCTGCATACGACAGAGTAGGGTGTTCCATTTAAGTTAACAGAGTTATAGCTGTTTCAAGTTATCAAAATGTAACGGCAAAAATGAAACACCTAGTATTAAATGTTTTAATTTATTAGTATACCATAATCTAGTGTTACATTTGCCCTTTATAGGTACTAAAAATCCGCTTGATATTAAGCTCCTGAAAAGAGTTACTAGCATCTCCGTGGATTCTTGCAGATGTCAAATTTTTTCTTTAAAAATTAATATCACAAAATCTATAACTCCTAAGTATAGGGAATATTTAATAAAGTGGCCTTCAAATTTTACGTAGTATTCAAAAATGCAGTAATATATAGGGTGTTCCATTTAAAATAACGAACTTGGTGTCGACTTCCGGTATAACCGGAAGTGCTGGAGAGTTCCAGATATTTTAGTTGTGTTCGCCACAAGGACATTACCATGTTGGCCAAATTTTCAAATTTTTCGGAGCAGTGCTATCCTAGTTATCGATCGACGCATTTCCCGGTTGGATACCCTGTATAGAGATGTGTATTACATATTTCTCGGCTTTTTACACTGTGAGATTTTTAGTCAAGTAATTGATTCTTTTGACATAAGGGTTTATTTCATTTATTTTTAACAAAACAAGAAGAAAAAAATTTAAAATATTGGTTAAATTGTATTCCTTGTTAAAATAATATACAGGGTAGCCCATCGAAAACGTACCGCAAGGCATTACAGGGTAGTAAAGAACTTTTCGGCAAAATCCAAAAATAGGTCAAATTTGTTTCTGAGGGGGACAACTTTTGGCTCAAAAATCATACCAAAATCTTCAACCCCCTAAGTGGGGGTGCTATCCCCTAAATTTTTTCAAATGGGAATGGGGGTCAAGTGGGGGGTCATTAGAAAGGGCTTTTAATTCTCTATACATCGATTCTTACTTTTTGAAAATCGATTCATTATTTTAGAAAATATGCAGCTTTGAAAATACGAACAATATTTTTGACGAGAAATGCGAAAATCGATTTAATTTTACTTCAAAACTTACGGTATTAGTCAAGTAAATGCTGAAAATGTTGTCCGCCAACTTGCATACAATGATACAGGTTGTCTTCAAACCGTTGTCGAACATTCTGGAGCACTTGCGGTGTTACTTCGCGACATACATTAATGATTCGTCCTCGCAGATCTTCCAAGGTATCAGGTGGAGTGCTGTAAACTTTGCTTTTAATGTGCCCCCAGAGAAAGAAATCTAAAGGATTTAAGTCGGGTGACCGAGGGGGCCACTCAATTGCACCTCTTCGTCCTATCCAGCGTCCTGGAAACGTCTCATTTAGGTAATTGCGCACATTGAGCGAGTAATGTGGAGGAGCTCCGTCTTGCTGGAAAATCAGTTCGTGTTCATTGTAAGCAGGGTCGTCCTCTATGATATTTGTTAGAGCTGGGTCGATGACATTTTGTAGTAAATCCAAGTACATATCGCCTGTCAAATTTCCAGGAAGGAAAAAAGGACCTACAATGGAATTTCCAAAAATACCTGCCCATACATTCAACTTCTGGGGGTGTTGGGAGTGTGTCTCATGGAAAATCCTTGGATTGGTATCAGCCCAGTAACGACAATTATGGCGATTCACTAAACCATTCAAGAAGAACGTACACTCGTCCGAAAAACACACATTAAAGAGGAAATTATCGTTTATCGCTCGTTCAGTCATTATTTCGCAAAATTGCAAACGACGATCAAAATCGTCTTCATTTAGCTCTTGCACTAGCCGAATCTTATAAGGATGGAATTTGTATTTTTTTAATATTCGTTGGACACTTGTACGACTCACTCCTGTCGCAGTAGCCAATTGCATTGTACTCAGCGTACTATCCATTGCCACTTGCCCCAATACCGCTATTTCCGTAGGTTCATTTAGTACCGGATTTTCAACCTGCCTCTTTTTGTTATGAACGGAGCCAGTTTCGCGAAATTTGGCCACCAATTCGCGAACAATTTTTCCAGACGCATGTTTCTCAGGATGCCGTTGGTTGAACAGTTCGGCGACCCGATTTCCGCATTCATTGTTTTTGAAAAAAAGCTCAATAATTTCTACTCTTTCTGGAATTGAGTACACCATAATTAATCAATTTAAAAGACTCGGCAGTATTGGTACTCTTCAACTACAAGTCACAAGACAGTTATCTAGCAACTTCTTGTGGCCTATCTAAATACGAAACAAAAAGCGGACAATTTTTTGCTCACCAAAATCAGGCTAAAGAATTCGCAAATCAGAAAAAAAAACAGCGAATTCTTTTGAAGGAATTTACCAAGCTAATACCGTAAGTTTTGAAGTAAAATTAAATCGATTTTCGCATTTCTCGTCAAAAATATTGTTCGTATTTTCAAAGCTGCATATTTTCTAAAATAATGGATCGATTTTCAAAAAGTAAGAATCGATGTATAGAGAATTAAAAGCCCTTTCTAATGACCCCCCACTTGACCCCCAAGTGCATTAATCGGCAGTAAGTAGAGATCAATTGAAGCATTTTAAAGGGTTGATAAGGGATGATGCACCAGAATTTTTTAACCCGTTTACGGACTTACAAAATTATTAATTTTATGGCGAATTTAATTCTAAAACTTTTCTTACTCTTGTTTTTAAAAAACTTTGTCGTTTTCAACAAAAACACGAACAGCTAAAAATACTGTAGCTGTGTTATTTAATATCATCGAAAATTCAAAAGTTGGCTATGTATTTAAACGTCAAACTTAATTATCAAGGAAAAAAGTTGGAATAAGAATAATTTAACAAAAAAACA